GTGTGTGTGAGTGTGAATGTGAGCGTGCGTACGCGTGTGTACGTGTGTTAATATGCGTGTACGTGTGTGAATATGCGTGTGTGTATGTGAATGTGTGCGCTTGATTGGGTTCAAACGAACATCACTATCGGGCATGCAAGCCCAACTGAATCAACACCGCCCTCATGCAAGCACGTAACCACGCAAGCAAGCACACAGCCAGGCAGGCACATCAGCACGCACTTGATTGGTTTGACGCTGGGGACATAGTGAAAGTCGCGTGATGCCTTTGGAGACCGCGAATCCCTGTGATGACAATAGGATTGCAGATGTGAGCACAGAATCCCAAATGGCACCAGTGCAGTACACGCGCGTGAGGCAGAAGAAGGTGAAGAAGCAACACACACGCATGTACATGAGCTGATCGACTACAGACACATGCACGCACACATGCATGTTTGTACACATGAATACTCACAGACACACAGCAAACAGACACACAGCAGGCGCACACACACACACACACACACACACACACACACACACACACACACTGCAAGACAGATGAATCTCAACCAACCCTCTGCTCTGGGTGGAGGCCTTGCGCATCTTTGCTTGGTTCTGCGTGACAACGCCGTTCTTTGGTGACAGCATCCCGCTGCCGCTGCTGCTGCTGGCACGTGCTGTCTTTGCTGCTGTTGCTGCATCTGCACCTGCTTTTGATGTCTTGCGGAAGAGCGAGCTGTAGTCAAACGACTTCTGGCAGCCCTTGAAGTCCTTGCTCGTGATGCCGCAGCACGACCACTTGCTGCCGTCAAAGAAGCCTGCGACAAACGCAAGCGACCAGTGATTCAGTGATTCGGTGAGGCGTGATAAGTGAGCAGTGAGGCGAATGCGACGCAATGCACAAAGGCAGCAGAAAAAGGATCCACACATGTACACACACACACACACACACACACACACACACACACACACACGCACGCACACTCGTGCCAGACCTGGATGGTATTTGGCGTGGAGAATGCGGTTTGTTGCACACTGTTTTCTCAGGGCAAGTAGCCACTCATCGCAGTCCTCACGCGATGGGCACTGCACATAGAGCACAGACGTGTGCACAATCTAGCATGTTGGTGTTGTTTGTTTTGGTGGAGGAGATGTGAGGACGGAGATGTGAGGAGGTGAGCAGGCCATTCATTTCAAGAACATCCGCATCCACAACGCATGCATGCGTGCATGTACAGGGTTCGCTCGTCAAGGTCATTCAGACACACACACATCTACAACTACACGCACCTGGATCATGTGCGGCTTGCCAAAGGCTTCGAGGGATACGCGCTCCAGCGTGTAGACGTTGCTGAGTGGGATGACGCCTTTGCACTCTGACGCGGGGTTGTTTCGCCCGCCTTCAAGCGTCCAATACGACAGCTCGCCAGGGTGCAGCACAAACCAGCGCTTCTTCCAGTTTGTGCGCCCAAAGGTGCTGCGCCCTTGCGCGCGCTTGTACATCATGCCAGACATGATGGGCACGTCACTGCGCGCGGGCAGATAGTCATTGTGGTCGTCCTCGTGGTCCCTCATCTTCAGCAGCTGATTGACACAAACGAGCAACAGGTGCTGTTGGCTGGTGCCTGTGGCTTAGCTTCTTCTTGTCTTGGTGTGCGAGAGAGCCGGCTGAACTCACGGCCAAGAAGAAACACCGCAAGACTCGTTCGCTCCCAAAGATATACGTCGCTCAAGATGCTTGGGTTGTCTTGGCTGGCTGGCTGGCTGGCTGCTGTGCTTTGTATTGCTTGTGGTGAAGTTTGGCTGGTTGGATCGATCAGTCAGTCTGCGTGTGCGTGTGTGTGTGTGTATGTGTGCGTGTGTGTGTGTGTGTGGATGAATGATGTGACGACAGCCGAATCAATCAATCAATGACTGTGGCTTGCTGTGCGACGATGAAGAAAACAAACCCACCAGCACCACTGTTGAGACAAAAGTGAATGTGCTCTCCTGAACAAACACGACATGATGGTGGCGCGCCAGCCAGCCATCAGCCAGCGAGCCATCTTGTCTCATACCGTGCATGCCTGTTGGTGATGCCTGATGTTGTTGCCCTCATCGAGTCTCATGCTTGTCATCGCTTCGCTCCTTCGCTTCGCTCCTTCGCTCCTTTGCAGTTGGTCAGTGCTACATTTTGTGGTGTTGAACTGCGGTAGCTGTCAAATTTGACAGCAGATGCAATTCCGCGCCATTTTTGAATTGTGTTGGTTGTGCAGCTGTTGTGGCAACAGGTCAGCCCTGCAGCCAACACAAACCGCGCGCCCCCAACGCAAGCACACACACAAGCACACGCAAGCACACACAAGCACACTGCACACACACACACACAAGCAAAGCACACTGCCCACACCATCACGCGTAGCACCAGGTGCACGGTTCACTTTCCGAGAACCCTTCGTCTCGTTCATATCTCAAAGCAACCCAAAAAGCAAGCAACCTCAAGCAACCAATACCCAAGCCATACCAAGCTAGCTACTACCATCAACCTTCTTTCTTTTTCCCCTTTCTTCCTCCTACCATCAACTCACGCCCCTTGTTGCAGTTCACCTCGAGGTGAAAGCGACACTCTCTCCTTCCATACCAACAACTCCAACACTCCAACACTCCAACTCCCTCTTCTTTTCATCCCCCCCCCCCTTCTCTCTTTCTCACACACACACATTCAAGCACAACCAGCAAGATGTCCAACGTCTTCGACAATGTCGACATCCAGTTTGCCAGCAGCATTTCCTGCAAGACCATGCCCAGGTGGCAGAGGAAGGCCATGCAGGCCCAGAACTCCTCCACCTCCCGCATGACGCCCCGCAAGGACCGCGTTCGCGTAAGTCTTCATGCACGCTCTTTGTGCATGTGTTTGTGTTTGTGTACGTGTGCGTGTGTGCACGCGTAAGTCGTCGTGCGTGCGTGTGTATGTGTGTGTGCATGTGTTTGTGTTTGTGTACGTGTGCGTGTGTGCACGCGTAAGTCGTCGTGCGTGCGTGTGTATGCTCTGGACACTGCTGCATGGCATGCAACGCACACACGCCAACCCCGCCCCCTCCCCAACCTCATGTCGAAACGACACTGCCCACACTGCCCCCTTTCCGTTGCTCACCGTCGTGGTTTTCTTTCTGTCATCTTTCATGTTTCACCACGTACGTAGGGCGACCGCTTCATCCCTGATCGGTCTGCCATGAACATGGAGGCGTCTCACTACAAGATGCTCTCTGGCGCAGACGACGAGAACACACAGCAGGACGCCGCCGGCATGCCCGGCAGCAGCAAGATCCTCGCGTTCAAGCAGAAGGCGCCCAAGCCCAAGGAGGGCTTCCAGAGCGACCTTCGCGTCATGTACACCCAGAGCCGCGCCGCCGCCAAGCCAAAGAAGACGGCGCGCTTCATCCCACAGGCCCCCGAGCGCATCTTGGACGCCCCCGACCTCCTTGCAAACTTCTACGTCAACCCGCTTGACTGGAGCAACGAGAACATGCTCTGCGTTGCCCTCAACGACGTGAGTAGTGTGTTTGTTCTGTGTGTGTGTGTGTGTTTGTTCTGTGTGTGTGTGTGTGTGTTCGCTTGCGCGGTCTCACTGCTTGCCCGTTCAATTTGCTTTGCACTCACACCACGTACCACCTCCATCTACCCCCCCTCCATCTACCCCCCCCCGCTCGTCCACGTTGGCTGCGTGCAGACTGCGTATCTGTGGAACGCCAGCAACGGCTCCATCACAGAGTTGTGCCACCTCGAGAACGCTGGCGACTACATTGCCTCGGTCTCCTGGGCACAGGACGGCGCACACCTTGCCGTCGGCACCAACAGCGGTGTTGTCCAGATCTGGGATGTCACAAAGCAGAAGCAGGTGCGTCCGCTGCCATCTTGTCAACCGTAATCTGTGTTTGTGTATGTGTGTGTGCGTGTGTGCGTGTGCGTGTGTGTGTGTGTGTGCGTGCGTGTGTGTGTGTGTGTGTGCATTGAGGCTGTCGCTGCTACATGTGCTTCCCATACTCGTTGTTTCGGCGAACTCACGTTTCACACCACCACCACCACCACCACCACCACCACCGCCGTCATCATCATCATCATCAGGTGCGTGACATGAGTGGGCACGGCGCGCGCGTCGGTGCACTCGACTGGAACAACCACATCCTCAGCAGCGGCTCCCAGCGCGGCATCATCCTCAACAGCGACGTGCGCGTGCGCGATCACGTGATGCAGGCGCTGGAGAACCACGCCGGGGAGGTGTGTGGCCTCAAGTGGTCGCCCAACGGCCGCATGCTTGCGTCTGGCGGCAACGACAACCTCGTCAACATCTGGTCCGACGCGGGCGAGGTGCGACACACGCTCACGCACCACCAGGCCGGCGTCAAGGCGCTCGCGTGGTGCCCCTGGACACACAACCTGCTGGCCACGGGCGGCGGTACCGCGGACGGCACGATTCGCTTCTGGAACTCCACAACAGGCAACTGCACAGGCACCATTGACACCAAGTCGCAGATCACGTCGCTGCTGTGGAGCAAGGAGTACCAGGAGATTATTGCCGGCCACGGCCACAACCACAACGGCCTCAGCATCTGGAAGTACCCATCACTGGACCAGGTGGCCGAGCTCAAGGGCCACACCGACCGCGTCGTTGCGATGGCGATGAGCCCCGATGGCGAGATGGTTGTGTCGGCCTCTGGTGACGAGTCGCTTCGCTTCTGGAAGTGCTTCCAGAGCGATCCCAAGCGCAAGGCCCGCAAGATGTCGGCCAACCCAAACTCGCGCCTCTCCTCCACCATCAGGTGATGTGGTGCGGTGGACCGTCCATCCAGCGACCTATCGTCCAGACAACACAAAGTTGACCTCCTTCAATCCAGTCCATCCAACCGAGCATAGCCAGCTAGCATCATGGCACCCACCCCACACAGCGACCAACAACGATGTATGCCGACCACAGCAACCGCCTCCAAGATGCTGACAGTGACACGCACGCACGCCCTCGTCGTCGTCTCTTCTCCTGCTCAGCGGCGTTGTTCATCGCATCCTTTGTTCGTTTCGGTAACGTAGTGTCGTTCCTCGCTAGGTTTGATGAGCTCAGCCATTCCTCCCCTAACCCAAACCCATCATTAACCCAACCCAACCCACCCTGTGTTCCCTGTGAATGCACACACGCATTGCTTGCAACCCTCGTCTTTTGCGGCGTTATGCTGCTTGCATGCGTTCATGTGGTTATGCTGCGGTGCCTCGCACCCTGCATCGACCGCCTTCTTTTCACCCCAATCGTGCAAACGATATCATGACCATCATCATGATCATCACCGCCACCATCATCATCGACATCATTGCATTCTGCCCAGCGCTCGTTGTCACCACGCCGGCCACCACACCCGCCGACCCGCTGACCGCAAGCATCATCACCACCAAGCGCCAGCACCGGTTGCTACTGTGTACGCAGTGCCTGGCTGCTGGTGCTTGTGGGGCGGTGGGAAGGGGCGGTGGCCGTGAGGAAACGACACGAGGAGCGGCGCTGCTCACACCAGAGCAGGCCGGTGCTGTGTGCACGCGTTGCATGAGAGTTTGCATGGTTCTGCATGATTGCATGCTTCACAGCCACAAGCTACAACGGCGGCTCGCCCAGCGACCGTTGCTCACCAATCAACCAACCAATCAACCAACCAATCAATCAACCAACCAATCAACCAACCAACCAATCAACCAACCAACCAACCAACCAACCCCTTCTTAACCCCAAACCCCAAACCCTCAAACCCAATCCAAAAGCTAACCAACTACATAACCCTTAGCACAACACATACATACTCACCAACCCCCAAACCTAACCTACTAACAACCCCAAACCAAACCAATCCAATTCCCCCCGATCATCCATCACAAGCCGCTCGCTCTGCGCTTGCATTGCATTGCATTGCACCACCTTGCGTCATCATGCTTCGCGCTGCGCGTACGTTTGCTGCATTGCACCTGCCCTGCACAGCTGCACATGTGTGTACACGCACAACAGCCAGAGCGCCTGCACCCGTCCGTCCGTCCGTCCGTCCGTCCGCTTCGTCATATTGTTTCGGTTCGTCCATCGGCCTTTGCACCGCCGCAGCGTAACATGTCACAACAACAACGACGACGACGACGACGACACCACCTGTGTCCATCCAGCCCATACGCACTTCGGAGCGGTGGGTGGATGTTATTTCTCCGGCTTCCTACCAACACCCCAACTGGTGAGATTGATGCGCACGCACGTGTGTGTGTGTGTGTGTGTGTGTGTGTGTGTGTGTGTGTGTGTGTGTGTGTGTGTGTGTGTGTGTGTGTGTGCGTGTGTTTCAATGTGTTGTGCATATGTGTATTTGCTGAACTGTGCGGTTGTTTGGTTTGTGCGCCTTCAACTCACTCTTGCTTTTTCTTCTTCTCTTTTGTTTTGTTTTTTCCTGTGCCGCTTTGTTTGGGTGTTGTTCAATGATGTCGCAGCTGCTCTCACATATCACGACAATGTGAGGGCAAGTAAACACACCCCTACCCACAACTTGAGAAGAAGGGAAAGCAATGAATGAACAAAGTGAATGAGAAGAAAGGACACGCACACATGCGCGCGCACACACACAACACACACAACACACATACACACATACAACATACAACACACACACACACACACACACACAAGACATCCATCATCATCAACTAGAGCGTGGATGAGGTGTTGAGATCTTCCACGTGCACCTCCCGTCCAACCCCCTCTGGCACCATCTCCTGCTCCTCCCCAACATCAGCGCGGCCGCCATGGCCATCACCACCAGCATCGCCACCGGTGCCCATCATCTCGGCAGGAATGACCTCGTACGCGTGTGTGTCCTGTGGCACGCGGCTGTGCTGGTGCATCTGCCGCATGTGCATCAAATGCTGATGGCGGTGATGATGAAACCCATGCTGTTGCTGCTGCTGCGGTTGCTGTTGTGTGGTGGTGTCTGGCACAACACCAAATGCGGAGCGCGGTGGCGGCCTCACAGGTGCTGTTGAAGACGATGCGTACATGGACGCTGGCCGGCGACCGTACATGGCGTTGGAGGCGGTGCGCATGGTGCTGGCCTGATCTGGCGTGATGGTCGCCGCACCCTCGCCCTCAACCTCCCACGGCACCTCCCCAAGCTGCGCATCCACGTACATGTGCGTGGCACGACGCGACGGCACGCTCAGGTGCTGCAGGGACCCGGAGTGGATGTTTTCGCCAGTCGGGGCCGCAGACACGTGCGAGAAGCGATGTGGATGTGTCGCAATGTACTCCTGCATCCCTTCGCTCTCAGAGACAGCCCGCCGCACGCGCCCAAACGATGGTGGCTGTGGTTGCTGGTACCTGGGGTGGGTTGGCGGGACAACCGTGTCGTTGCTTGCAAGCAAATCTGCATCGCCACGACTCCGCCGTGCCTCCTGCTCCTGCATGCGCTGCTGCTGCATTTCAAGAAAGTAGTGGGATGGCGGGTCTTGCTGTGAGTGCGTGCGCCCACGGCTGTGCTGGAAGCGATGCTGCTGCTGCTGCTGCTGCTGGGCGAAGGACGACGGGTGGAAGGGCTGGGCATACACCGTGTTGCTGAACGTGGTGGCCATGGATCCGGACGCATCCATCGACGTGCTGCCCTCCTCGCTCCCTTCCATGGACGTGTACTCCTCGTCCACCTCCTGAAAGCTGCGGTCGAGCGGGATCGGGTCGGTGGCGGTCGTTGCGCTCACCATCTGCGCGGTGGCCTTGCTTGAGCGGCTGCCATGCGACGCCGTCATGGCGCGTGATGACGTTTCGTATGTCGTCATTTGCGCCTCCTCGCTCTTGCCGGTGATGATGATGCCGCAGAGGCGGAAGCACAGGATCATGCACGCGAGCACGCACAGCGCAGCCAGCACGGCAATCAGCACGAGGAAGGTTGAGTCCTGGTCCTTGGAGAAGGTGTTGAGAGCGACAGCCTGGTGGGTCATGCCAAGGTTGTCCATCACATGCACGCGCCCCTCTCGCACGGCAACGCGGACAGGCGCGATCTGTACGCGGGGCCCACGCGCTGTGACCAACACCATGCCCTTGTACTCGTTGAAGGTGAACGTGACCGCGCTCGTGCTGACGTTGGCGCGTGTGAACTGCGCGCGCAGCTGTGCCTCCAGCGCATCTGTTGTTCCAGCAACGATGAAGAACCGCGGCGCCTGGCGCAGCACAAACGCAAACGTGTCCTCGCTTGGTGCCGCCGTTGTTGTTGTGGTGGTTGTTGTTGTGGTTGTGGTTGTTGCTGTTGTCGTGGTTGTTGTCGTTGTCGTTGTCGTGGTGGCTGTGGTTGTGGTTGTGGTCGTTGTTGTAGTTGTTGTTGATGGAGGTGCACCTGTGGTTGTGGTTACTGTTGTCGTGATTGTTGTCGTGATTGTCGTTGTTGTGGTTGTTGTGGTCGTTGTTGTAGTTGTGGTTGTTGAAGGCGGCGCACTTGTGGTTGTGGTTGTTGTGGTTGTGGTTGTTGAAGGCGGCGCACTTGTGGTTGTCGTTGTCGTGGTCGTTGTAGTAGTAGTAGTAGTTGTGGTCGTGGTCGTGGTAGTGGTTGGAGTGGTCGTGCTAGTCGTTGTTGTGGTCGTGGTTGAGGGAGCAGTTGTTGTTGTTGTGGTAGTTGTGGAAGTTGGGGTTGGAGTGGTGCTTGTCGAGCCTGCACGTACATCATCACATCATCACATCAACATGATGCATCCACACATGCACACACAATCAACACACAAGACACACAATACACGCATTCACACATTCACACACAATACACACGTTCACACACATACACATGAGCACATGTGCATGCAGACAAGTACATGTACGTGGTGAGGTTAGAGTTGAGACATGCTTCAAAAAAGCAGTTTGCAGACGACAAGCGAAGCAAGCCCAATCACAGCAAAGCGCCAAGCATGCAAGAAACGCGTGGTGTGACTCACTCTGAGCGAGGGCGGTGTGCTGGGAAGCGACGACGGCGACGATAAGCGCCACCAGGAGCGCCTTGGCGCAAGAGAGCCTTGTCATGCTGCAGCGCGGGGCGTGCGGCGTGCGGTGTGCGCGGATAAGAAATTATTGACGGCAAAGACAGCCTTTGATGAGGTCTGACAACAAAAAGCACGAGAGGAGCGAAGATGGGAGCGAGAGAGAGAGAGATGCGTGAGTGGATTGGGGACGCACAGCTCGAGCGGGCGGGTGTTGTGTGTTGTGTGTGTGTGTGTGTGTGTGTGTGTGTGTGTGTGTGTGTGTGTGTGTGTGTGTGTGTGTGTGTGTGTGTGTGTGTTGGGGTATGTGGTTCGTGCCTCCCTTCTCTCCCCCCCCCCCTGGTGTTGTTGCTGCTTGCTTCACCAGCTCCAGTTATAGCACCCGAAACACGAACACGGCGAGCGTGCAGTTGCATTGTTTCGACACACCTTAGAAGTCACCGTGCAGCGCCGTCAAGCGCAAAGCCGTCTGCCCCGTGGTGGTGAGGACGATGAGGTACGCAGCCAAAGCCAAAGCTCAAACAAACCAAAAAGTGTTCGGATATGGGGGTGGCGATCCGTGGGGTCGCCCTGTGATGTGTTGCTGGCCGGTTGGTCGGTGTTGCTTTGTTTTGTGTCGCACAACATTGTCACCGCCCAGCCACGGCAGAGCAGGTTGCGTGGGAAGCTTGAGCGTGTGTGTGTGTGTGTGTGTGTGTGCGTTGCCTCCGTTGCTTTGCTTACTCCATCGTCACCCACGGCAATCACACAGCCCACGCTCTTGCTTTTGCACTCTTTTGCTCACTGATCATTTGCACGAGATTATGTAAATTGCACCACTTGCGCACTTGCAATTGGCAAATCAAGGAGACAAAAGCTCAAGAAGAGACAAACGACAACCACCGATACCAACCAACCACTGCCCGCCTTCTTCCAATCGACACACACACATACACACACACGCACACGCACACGCACGCAGTAGCATTGCAGCTGAAGAAGATGGACGCGAGTGAGCTGCGCACAGACTTGGAAGCGCTGCATGCAGAGGCAGAGGCGTCAACCTCAATTGCAGCAGTGACCACAGTGGTGAACGACTACCTGAACAAGTTCAGGTCAGCCTCGGCCAAAGCCGCCGTGCAAGACGCCATTGCAGATGTCCTGCCGCACATGGACGCCGCAGCACACCCCCTTCCCCTCGCCATTCTCTTGTGCGTCCCATGCTGTGTGGTGTGTTTGATTTGTGGGAGCTACTGCTGCGTGTGTGTGTGTGTGTGTGTGTGTGTGTGTGTGTGTGTTTGATTTGTGGGAGCGACTGTTGCGTGCGTGCGTGTGTGTGTGTGTGTGTGTGTGTGTGTGTGTGTGTCGTTTATGTGTGCGTGTCGTTTATTGTGTGCGTATTTCTTGCTGTATCAATGGCTGTCATGCACATGATGTGCCAGACGTCCCACAAACAACCCCTGCCCCTACCATAGAAACAACGCCACTCACTGCTTGGCTCATGTCGTGCAGGCTCCTTCAACAGACAGCTGAGGACACACCCCAGCGCGACCAGTGGATCGCCTATGTCTCTGCGCTGTTCCATAACGGCGACATCACAAAGATCCAGCAATGTCCAGAACCTTGTTAGTGATGATGACCGTTGTCTGTGCGCTGCGCTTCACCACATGTTCAGACAATCAACCCATGCCTCCTTTCCTGCTCCCTTCTTTGCTTGGTTGCTTCTTTCCTTGCTTGCCTGTCGTTTGACCAATAGTTGTGCTGTCTGACTACAAGCTGTCAACAAGCATGCATTTACCCCTGGCATCATGGCACCTCAGTCCTCACACAAGCCCTTGCACATTTGTGCGGTTTCAGTCATGTCGCTGGCACAGATGCTGTCACGCATCTTGCTGAAATGCAACCAGGTGATATGGTCGACACATTGATAAGTTTTGCTGTCCATGTCCTTGTTTCGACACAGCACATGCGCAACCAGGGCACACGCCATCGCTCATCCGCTCATTCACACTTGTACCTGCTCACACATGCACATGCACATACACGTGCTCACACAACACCTGTCATGTGTGTGTGTGAATGCTGCTTCTGGAGCCAGGCCATTCGCGGTGTGTTGGCGGTGAAAGCGCTGCTGCAGCGCCTCGTGGCGCCCACAACATATTGCGCCCTTCACACCGAATTCGCAAAGGTGCAACACATGACGCAGAGAGTGTGCGTGTGTGTATGTATATGCGTGTGTGTATGTGTGTGCGTGTGTATGTGCGTGTGCGTGTGTGCGTATGTGTGCGCGTATGTGTGTGTGAGAGAGAGGGAAGCTCAACACCTTTACGCCCACCACGCCTGCTGCATGTTCACGTGCTTTCATGGGTGCGTTCATTGCCTGCATGCACGGAGCAGCTTGCGGTGGCAGCGCGGCTGTATCGGATTGCCGCCGACGTCGTCGCCCACCCCATCTACGATATTTACAAACACGTGCGTGGTCCCTGTCGAAAACATACCGCACTGAGGCGTATGTTGCGTGTTGCGTGGTGTGTGTGTGTGTGTGTGTGTGTGTGTGTGTATGTGTTGCGTGGTGTGTGTTTGTGTGTATGTGTTGCGTGGTGTGTGTGTGTGTGTTGCGTGGTGTGTGTGTGTGTGTTGTGTGTGTGTGTGTGTGTGTGTTGTGTGTGTGTGTGTTGTGTGTGCGTGTTTCTCATGTGCACATCAACTACCCTTCCGGCTTGTCTTACTCAACACATACACACACACACACTCTCTCTCTCTCTTCATCACTCTTGTTGTCTCTGCCTTCACCTCCACTCATCGCCAACCCCCCACATCCCACCGGCTTTCATCTCCTCAACCATACGGCAGGGCGCGGACACGGAGCGCGTCATGTCATATCTGTACTACAAAGGTCTGGTGCAGATTGGCATGAAGCAACATGCTGCCGCCCTGCACACCCTCACGCTCCTCAGCAACTACCCTGGCGAGGCCGTCAGCGCCATTGCTGTTGAAGGATACAAGAAACTCGCCCTCCTCTCTGTTATTGTCCACGGTCGCGCTGTCAAAGACAAGGTGTGTGTGTGTGTGCGTGCGTGCATGCGTGTGTGTGTGTGCACATGTATGCTTTATGAGCATAGTTTGCTTCACATCTCTTCCTCCCGCCTCTAACCACGCAAACGCACACACACACACACACACACACACACACACACACACACACACACACACAACACGGCACGAGGGAGAAAGGGGGGGGAGAAGTTTGGCGGTGGCTGTGGGAAACTATGTGTGATCTGGGATCGAAGCGGTAAAAAGCATAGCAAGAGGAGGAAGGTAGTGAAGAATTCGGTGTGTCTATACAATAGCCTGTGCACGGTCATATGCAAACAGAGAGAGACTACATCGTGACTTGCTCCATTTTTCTGTTTTTTGTGCTATTTACCGCCATGCCTTCGGAGCGTTTACAGGATATGTATATGATAAAGATGAGTACGAAGCAGCGAAACGGTAAGAAGATCATAATACTTGAGCGCAACTATATGCAGGCATCG